CTCACCCCTACTAAACTCACCCCTACTATACTCACCACTACTACACTCACTACTACTACTCTCACTCTACTATACTCACCCTATTATACTCACCCTACCACTCACTACTCACCTCTATTATACTCACTACTCACCACTCCTACACTCACCCTGCAACACAATTACACTCCAACTACACTTACCATTACTACACTCACTACTGACTACTCGCCACTACTCTCACTACTCACCATTCCTATACTCACCACACACTCCTAGACTCACCACTACGACACTCACTCCTTACCACAACTACACGCACCACTCACCGCTAAACTCAGAATTGTACGACTATGAACTACTCACCACACGACATTCATCTGCGCTCACTTCCACAGATGCCCCCTATTCCTCTCATGCCTCCCACTCACCAATCCAACCCTTCTACCCCCCCCCACTAATAATCCCATAGCCCCCCCCCCTACCCCGCGTCGCTTTGGACACACCATCTCTCCACCGCCTCGTCCTCTCTGGGAGACTGTGCAGGAAGAGCCAGATTCCTCATTTTAGTTTGGCCGTTCCCCCAATCGTAGTCCAGCCGCGCTACAGGCGGCTTCAGGCCACGAAATGAGGACGTTCCAGTGCACCAACCTGTGTAAGGCCTCCGGAAGATGAAGCCACAGACAGAAGAAGAACGACTCCTGAGCTCACGCGTCACGCCTCGTGGGCCACGCCAGGGGTCACACTTCTATTCAAACAGAAATCAAAATCTCAGAGCTGGAATTTTGCCACATTAAGTGTCAAAACAATGATATGTGGGGGTTTTGGTGCAGTTGTTGGTGACCAGGCTGAGAACCCAGGTTCATCACTGTGGCTGAGACCCAGATTCGAACCGAGGCTCTCTGAACGCTTTCGGCAGCGCGCCTCTGACCCCTGGGCCACCCGGCCTCCTCTGGCGCTGCCGTCTCGTGTCAAATTCCTGATCCGCCTGTGATCTCTCCCGGCTGCAGGGTGAAGTTGGGCGAGATGTTTTGCTGCTGCGGCTGCTATTTTGAAGCATGTTTGACTCCACACTCTCGGGGTGTGGTGGTGATGATTTCCATCGTGATGACATGGTGGTTGTGATGACATGATGGTGGTGATGGCATGGTGGTCGTCATGGTATGGTAGTGATGGCATGGTGGTGGTGATGGCATAGCGGTAGGGATGGCATGGTGGTTGTGATGGTATGGCGGTGGTGATGGCATGGTTGTTGTGATGGCATTGTAGTTGTAATGGCATGGTAGTGGTGGAATGAGCCTTGTACCCGATTAATCACCCACAGCTGGCGTGCGTGATTGTAATACAGGGCGACAATTTAATATGAAATTAAACAAAACATTAATGGCCTGTGTTTGGCAGTGGTGAATATAAACAAATCAATTAAAACACTGCAAGTTAGTCATTAACAGCGCATTGCACAAGAAGCCAAGTCACCCCGGATCGTGATTGAATATTCCGCTGCCAGACTCCTCGCACCCACAGCTCGGACCACATCGCTCAAAATACCCTGGCCCCTGACCCCAATCCCATGCTAGGTCACCTTCAAGATCTCATTCACCGTCTTCAAGATCGTCCATGGGCTCACCACACTCTCCCACCACTTATCTGCCTCTCCTCCGCTCCTTCACTCTCCTGCACCTTCCACCACTCGTCCACCTCCCTCCTACGCTCGCCTACATTCTCCCTCCCCAACCTTTCTCCCAGCCCCGACTCCCTGCTGCCTCTCAACTCCCCCACATCTGAGCTCCCACCCTCTCATCTTCCACCTCCACCATCCCTCATCTCCATCGCACCCCTCACATCTCCCACCCAACTCTTCGCACCTTCCAATTACATAAAACTCTCCCACCTCTCTCCTTCATCTCTCTCTCCTCCCCTCCCTCCCCCATTTCCCTTTCCTCCCTCCCCCGTCTCCCCCACCCCCACGTATGCGCCTGTGATGTGAACGCGCTCTCACGCCTGCTGCGGTGCCAGGCTCTGAGCACGCGGGGTGTTCACGTGCTAATGAGCATTAATTAGCGAGGTTCACGATGGCCGTGTCTCCTCCTTGAGAGTTGCCATGGGAATGTATAATTTCAGGAGAATTGGTTCAGCACAAGCAAACACTCGCTTGAACCAGTGCTGGTAAACTGCCAGATGTTTAATTAGTTGAGCCAGGCCATGTTTGATGAGGAAGGGCTATTGCCCGAAGCGTCGGCTGTTATATTGTCTTGTTCTTTTAAGGCCACATACACAGTGTTTTTGACGGATATGCGTTGAGTCGTTTTGTTCCGTCCCCCCCCCCCCCCCCCACTTTGAATGAGCAAACGTCACTCACAATTACAAACCTAACGCACAAAGCTACTCATTCACTTCACCGTATTCACCGGATTATGAGACGCTCCTGAAAGTAATACGTACCTCAAACTTGTACCCAGTGTCAGTAAAGTCCTACCGATCTGGACTCAGAGCAAAGACGAATATTCCTCATATCGCCTTTATTAGACTGTTCGGGCAAGTGCTGTTGGCGAGCACCTAATGAAGGCTGGCTTTGTCTCCCCAGTGGTAATGTATACAAACCGCACCATTTGAGGCTGAGTCGACCTAGGGGAGGCCCAGGACGGGTTCAGATAATCGTCACTGGTGTTGGCCGTGAGCGCGAATCGAACTTGGATCGCCGGGTTCGTAGCGCAGCGCTGTAACCGATGGTTTAGTGCAGGGTTTTGAAGACAAGGAGGGTAGAAGCATAGACGTTGGAGCACAGAGTACGGTACAACAATGCATCTCTGCTGCACTGCCCTCTGCTGCCCACCACGGGGCAGTCTGTTGGTGTACGGAATGGCCGTATTCACGAGCAGCGTGCCGTGTGAACACGCATGGAGTTCAGAACACCTCATTCGAGACCCAAACATCGTCGAACGCCTCCTCAATCGCCTTTACATTCCTCCTCGAAGACACTGGAGAAACCAACAACTCACTTAGCAGTTCACTCGCCTACTCACCCACCCGCTCAACCACTCACGCACGACTGATGCAACCATCAACCGAATCGTAACGTCAAGAGGCCCATGTGCTCCTCTCCTGTATGAATGGCAAACTAAATGCACCAGTCACAGGAGTGCGAATGCGGTCATGCAATCCGAACTAATGGCACTGCGGCGTGCGCCCCTTCAACTGAGGAATAACAACAACACGACACGAACTCTCTCTGCTGCAGCCTTCACGTCGTGGATAGCTGACCTAGACATTGGCATTTAGCTCCTAAATGTATTGCTACTGCTGCCATCACACGCGTGAATAGCACCGCGCGTGGACATAGACATCCGTGGAAGCTCCGGGGTTCGCGTTGCCCGGGACGCCAACTCTCACGCTGTTTCCATACAGTTACACATATAGCTGCTAATATATTTACATAAGGGCGTCCACCCGTGCTTCAAGAGGCGTAACATCAGCATAAAGTTGGTAGGCAAGGGTTGTCTAATTTTACATACTGGCTGTTATACCCCCCCCCCATCATCCCGTGAGCTCCAGGGCTCCTCAGCAGGCTGGAGCCTGGACCCAAGCCCTTTGAAGGGCGGCGACCACCTCCAGCAAGCGCAGAGGGCAGACGAAGCAGTTCGCGTTGTGGGCAGCAGAGGGCAGTGCAGTAAAACTCACTGCACTCCCCTCCACCACCACCACCACCGTGACCGTCGTGGAGAAGCATCCTCAAAATAACAACCAGCAGTGGAGTGACATAGACGGGCCGTGCGTGTGCACGTGATGAGCAAGAAGAGAAGTGGAGACGATGGCAGTGAGATGGTGACGATGGTTAGAGATTATGATGATGATACACATGGGTGCATCTCATCTGTTGCTCAACTTGGCTCACCCCCCCCCCCAATCCTGGGACCCAAATTCCCTTCAACCGGCCCCCCGCCCCGCAGGCCGGGCCCCACTGAGGGTGGGGGGCAGTGGGTGGATGGGTGAGTGAGTCGGGAGGAGGGGTGAGTGGGTACGGTGGGGGGAGGATATCGGCCGGAAAGAGGGTGAGTGATGGTGCTGGTGAGTGGGTGGAAATAGAATAGAGGGGGGAGGGGGGTGAGTTGAGAGCGAGTGATGGTGGTGAGTGATCGGTGTGCTGTTAAAAGTGAGTGCGTGAGTGAGGTTACTGGTAGGGGTGAGTGGGTAAGTGGGGACAGGGGTTGGTGGGGGTGAGTGAGGAGAGGTGGGTGGGGAGAGGGGTGGGTGGGGAGAGGAGTGGGGGTGGGTGGGGAGAGGGGTGGGGGTGGGGAGAGGGGTGGGTGGGGGTGGGTGGGGAGAGGGGTGGGTGGGTGGGGAGAGGGGTGGGTGGGCTAGTGGGGGGGTGTTTGGTGTGGATGCTGCCTCCCGGCTGCTATGGGGAGCGCCGTGCCTAGGCGACGCCGCGAGACACGTGACGGGGTGAGCGAGGGAGGAGGAGGAGGGGAGAGTGCAGGGGGAGTCAAGGGGGGGGGGGGGGAGTCAAGGGAGAGGAGCAGAGTCAGGGGTAAGAGAGAGACGGAGGAGGGAGGGCGAACAGAGCCGATGGGAGATAGGTGAAGGAAGAGTCGCAGGGGAGAGAGAAGCAGAGGAGAGGAAACTAGGGAAAGGCAAGGAAGTGGAGAGTGAAGAGCCCGACGGAGAAGGGAAAGAAAGAGTGAAGGGAGAGCGAGGGGAGAGGCAGGAGAGTGGTAGAGGAACGTCAGGGGAGTGGCAGGGGAGAGGGAGGGTGTGGGGACAGTAGAGTGGAGACAGCGGAGCAGGAGCATCAGACAGAGGAGAGTTGGAGGAGACGGAGGCGAGGGTTATGAGAGAGGGCGGGGAGAGGGAGGAGAGTTGGAGGAGAGTTGGGAGGGGAGGGCAGAGGGAGGGCGTGGAGACAGAGTAGACTGGAGACAGCGGAGTGGGAGCATCAGAGGGAGGAGGAGGAGGAGTGTTAGGGGAGACGGGGTGAGGAGGGAGGGGAGAGGAGAGTTATAGGGAGTCGCGCCCGGGGCAGCGGGGGAGGGGAGGGCGCGGTGGTGGTGGTGGTGGCGGAGCCGCAGGGAGGGAGGGAGCGGCGTGGACCCTCCCGCCCAGGGGGGAGCAGCAGGGAGCAGCAGGGACCCCCCTCGTCTCCAGAGCGACGCGCGGCTCGGCTCGAGTCCATGCCCCGGCTGCTGCCATCTTCTCCATCTCCCCCGGACAACGCCGCGGAGTCGTCACCACCAGCAGCATGTCGCGCCGAAAGCAGGCGAACCCCAACCGGGTCACGGCGGGTGAGTGCGGGTCGGGTGGGACCAGGTGGGGTCAGGGGGGATCCTTTGGGGTCAGGGGGGGATCTTTTGGGGTCGGTGCCCAAAAGTTTTATCCCGGACCGCGGGGAGCGAAGTATGAGTCAGAAATGGAGTCAAAACTTTCCTGCAGCGTCGCCCCCGCCGCGTGTCTGTCTGTGTCGCCCTCTGTCTGTGTCTCCCTCTGTCTCCCTCTGGCTCTCTATGTCTCCCTCTGTCTCACTCTGTCTGTGTCTCCCTCTGTCTCCCTCTGTCTGTGTCTCCCTCTGTCTCCCTCTGTCTGTCTCCCTCTGTCTCCGTCTCACGTCTCCCCGTATCTCCATTGACTCGCCGATCGCTGTGTCTCTCTGCGTGTCTGTTCTGTCCCAGTGTCTCCGTCTGCCCATGTGTCTCTCTGCTCGTCTACCCAATTGCCTTGTCTCTGTCTATCTGCGTGCATGTCACCCTCTGGCACTGTCTCCTTACGTCTCTCCCCGTGTCTTGTGTCCCCCGTGTCCCTCGTCTCGCTGCTCGTCTCATACCATTACTGTTCTGCGTCGACGCGAGGTCACCGTGGTGCGGCCGTGTGTGTGTGTACACGCGGTGTGTGTCTGTGTGTGTGCACGCGGTGTGTCTGTGTGTGCACGCGGTGTGTCTGTGTGTACACGCGGTGTGTCTGTGTGTACACGCGGTTGTACACGCGGTGTGTGTGTGTGTACACGCGGTGTGTGTGTGTGTACACGCGGTGTGTGTGTGTACACGCGGTGTGTGTGTGTGTACACGCGGTGTGTGTGTGTGTACACGCGGTGTGTGTGTGTGTACACGCGGTGTGTGTGTGTGTACACGCGGTGTGTGTGTGTGTACACGCGGTGTGTGTGTGTACACGCGGTGTGTGTGTGTGTACACGCGGTGTGTGTGTGTGTGTACACGCGGTGTGTGTGTACACGCGGTGTGTGTGTGTGTGTGTACACGCGGTGTGTGTGTGTGTGTGTGTACACGCGGTGTGTGTGTGTACACGCGGTGTGTGTGTGTACACGCGGTGTGTGTGTGTACACGCGGTGTGTGTGTGTACACGCGGTGTGTGTGTGTGTACACGCGGTGTGTGTGTGTGTACACGCGGTGTGTGTGTGTGTGTACACGCGGTGTGTGTGTGTGTGTGTACACGCGGTGTGTGTGTGTACACGCGGTGTGTGTGTGTACACGCGGTGTGTGTGTGTGTGTGTACACGCGGTGTGTGTGTGTGTGTGTACACGCGGTGTGTGTGTGTGTGTGTACACGCGGTGTGTGTGTACACGCGGTGTGTGTGTGTGTACACGCGGTACACGTCGCACGATATCGCGTGTGCACAGTGCAGTGTGTGCACGGTGTGGTGGTGTACAGGCGGTGTGTGTACAGGCGGTGTAGTGGTGGTGTGTAGTTTGTGTGTAGTGAACACAATGCAGTAGTAGTGTGTACACGGTGTATTGGTGGTGTGCACATGGAGTTTTGCTGCGTAGTGTAACATAGTGTATTGTGTATATGGAGCAGTGTGTAGTGATGGCGGAGTGTACAGGCTGTAGTGTGGTGGGGTGTGTACACGCGGGGGGGAGGAGGGAGCAGCAGCAGCAGCAGCAGGAGGAGGAGGGGAGCACCGGGGCCGCGTTGTTTGTGGTGGAGACGCCGCGGCGCCATGGAGACGCCGCCGCCGCCATGGTTACCGCGCATCTCGGAACGCGACTCCGAGGGGGTGGGGGGCGGGGGGGGGGCCCCCGAGCCCAGCCCCCCCCGACTCCTCGAGACGGGGGGGGGGCTCCCGAGCCCAGCCCCCCCCCCCCGACTCCTCAAGACGGGGGACACGAGAATCGCGCACCGAGAAAGAGCGGCAGCAGCATCGGCACTATCATCATCAGCATCATCGGCACTATCATCAGCATCATCAGCATCGGCAGCAGCATCGGCAGCAGCATCGGCACTATCATCAGCAGCATCAGCAGCAGCATCGGCATCAGCAGCATCAGCAGCAGCTATCATCTTTATAATCGTGGTGGCCATCTGTTGAAACCGGAGTCTTACCAACTCACCCAGGAGCTCCAGATACTGTACAGTGTAGCGGCTCACAGCAGTAACAGCGTTGTTAAGATAGTGCAGCAGTGACAATGTTTTAAAGAAAGTGCGGCAGTAATAGTATTTTAAGTGCAGCTTTGTTAGCCTTAAATGCGCGCAGCGGTAGCAATATCGACAGGGATAGTGAGGCAAAATAACCACTTACAAACTTGCAAGTATATTTTACACAAATCCCATCAGCCACTCGGCCCTCTGGGAGTTCAAAATGTGTCGCTCCTGCAGTATGCTCCACTTGGTTATCTTGTGTGTTATAGAGTTTAGTGTGGAGACCAGGACCCTCATCTAGCAAAGAGGGGATCCTTGTCTATAAACGTCTTTCATTTCGCCAGCGTTGGTTCAAGAGACCCGAACTCTGCTGATGAGACACCGACTGGCGAAACCGGTCTAGTGTTCATGTTTAGAACCAAAATGTTGTTGAAGTTATGCACTCTTAGTAGGCGGTGTGGGTGATGGGATGTGTAAGAAATACTTTTATTGTTTAAGTGACGGGACGGACGTGTGACGAGGGATTGATTGCTCACGTGTTTCTATTGTCCACAAGGACGCTAATGATCACAACTTGCAGCAGCATTAGTATAAAGTGTATCAGTGTTAGCACAGGGCGCAGCAGGTATTGTCAGTTCAGTAGTGAGTTATTATCTATGTTACATGTTAGTGGTGTGCAGTAGTGCGTTATTATCCATGTTACATGTTAGTGGTGTGCAGTAGTGCGTTATTGTCCATGTTACATGTTAGTGGTGTGCAGTAGTGAGTTATTATCCATGTTACATGTTAGTGGTGTGTAGTAGTAAGTTATTATCTATGTTACATGTTAGTGGTGTGCAGTAGTGAGTTATTATCCATGTTACATGTTAGTGGTGTGCAGTAGTGCGTTATTATCCATGTTACATGTTAGTGGTGTGCAGTAGTGAGTTATTATCCATGTTACATGTTAGTGGTGTGTAGTAGTGCGTTATTATCCATGTTACATGTTAGTTGTGTGCAGTAGTGAGTTATTATCCATGTTACATGCTAGTGGTTTGCAGTAGTGAGTTATTATCCATGTTACATGTTAGTGGTGTGCAGTAGTAAGTTATTATCCATGTTACATGTTAGTGGTGTGCAGTAGTGAGTTATTATCCATGTTACATGTTAGTGGTGTGCAGTAATGCGTTATTATCCATGTTACATGTTAGTGGTGTGCAGTAGTGAGTTATTATCCATGTTACATGTTAGTGGTGTGCAGTAGTGCGTTATTATCCATGTTACATGTTAGTGGTGTGCAGTAGTGAGTTATTATCCATGTTACATGTTAGTGGTGTGTAGTAGTGCGTTATTATCCATGTTACATGTTAGCGGTGTGCAGTAGTGATTTATTATCCATGTTACATGTTAGTGGTGTGCAGTAGTGAGTTATTATCCATGTTACATTTTAGTGGTGTGCAGTAGTGAGTTATTATTTATGTTACATGTTAGTGGTGTGCAGTAGTGCGTTATTATCCATGTTACATGTTAGTGGTGTGCAGTAGTGCGTTATTATCCATGTTACATGTTAGTGGTGTGCAGTAGTGAGTTATTATCCATGTTACATGTTAGCGGTGTGCAGTAGTGAGTTATTATCCATGTTACATGTTAGTGGTGTGCAGTAATGCGTTATTATCCATGTTACATGTTAGTGGTGTGCAGTAGTGAGTTATTATCCATGTTACATGTTAGCGGTGTGCAGTAGTGAGTTATTATCCATGTTACATGTTAGTGGTGTGCAGTAGCGGTTGGGAAAGCGCTGCAGGGTGTTTGGTGCAGCAGTAACGGTGGTGGTGTGAGCCGCGACAGCTTCTGAAGCTGTGAGACTTTAATGCATGTGAGTGAGGAGGGTGAGGGAGGTGGGGGTGAGGGAGGTGGGGTGAGGGAGGGTGAGGGTGGGTGAGGGAGGTGAGGGTGGGTGAGTGAGGGAGGGTGAGGGAGGGTGAGGTGAGGGTGGGTGGGTGAGGGAGGGTGAGGGTGGGTGAGGGAGAGGGTGGGTGAGGGAGGGTGGGGTGAGGGAGGGTGAGGGTGGGTGAGGGTGGGTGAGGGAGGGTGGGGTGAGGGAGGTGAGGGAGGGTGAGGGAGGGTGGGTGGGGTGAGGGAGGTGAGGGAGGGTGAGGGTGAAGGAGGGTGAGGGTGGGTGAGGGTGGGTGAGGGTGGGTGAGGGAGGGTGGGTGAGGGAGGTGAGGGTGGGTGGGTGAGGGAGGGTGAGGGAGGGTGAGGTGAGGGAGGTGAGGGTGGGTGAGGGAGAGAGGGGTGAGGGGGGTGAGGGTGGGTGAGGGTGGGTGAGGGAGGGTGGGGTGAGGGAGGGTGAGGGAGGTGAGGGTGGGTGAGGGTGGGTGGGTGAGGGAGGGTGGGGTGAGGGAGGTGAGGGTGGGTGAGGGTGGGTGAGGGTGGGGTGAGGGAGGTGAGGGTGAGTGAGGGAGGGTGGGGTGAGGGTGGGTGAGGGAGGTGAGTGAGGGTTTGTGGGTGAGGGAGGGTGGGTGGGTGAGGGAGGGAGAGGGAGGGTGGGGTGAGGGAGGTTGGGTGAGGTTGGGGTGGATGAGTGAGTGTGGGGTGAGGGAGGTGAGGTTGAGGGAGGTGAGTGAGGGTGGGTGGGGTGGATGAGTGAGGGTGAGGGAGGTGAGTGAAGGTGTGTGGGAGGTGAGGGTGTGTGAGGGGAGAGGGAGGTTGGGGTGAGGGTGTGTAAGTATGCGTGTTTACATGAGTGTGTTTATGTGAATGTGTTCCTTTGTACGCGTGTGTATTGGTGTCTTGAGTGTGTGCCTGTGTTTACTTTTTAGGGTGTATGCATGTGTGTGCATTCGTGTCTGCTTGTGTGCATGTCTATGAGTGTGTGTGCACGTCTGTGAGTGTGTGTGTACGTCTGTGAGTGTGTGTGTACGTCTCTGTGTGTGTGT